TAATTGTTTAGCTTGTTCACCTATCTATCCGTCCCTATACCCATGTTTGCTTTCACTGACAACTCAGTACTGTATATGCAAAGGGGTTCATATTTGTTGTTTGTACTTTATAAGTGGTTTTTAAAAATTATTGACTGTATAAAAAAGGTTTGCAACTGAGCACATCAGTATATTTTTATTATATTTTCTTTTCAGTACTTTTTGTTTTTCCTGTAATTAGTAATTACATCTTTTTTTGTCTGTTTGCTTGGTTTCCCTTGTACCTATCTGTACTTTATCTCAAAATCTCTGACGGGACTCTGAAATGTTTTTAGTACAGTTAAGCTCATGGAGTACTTCATCTGGTACTTGTTTTATTGGGTGCAAGCCTCCTGCACACTCCTTCCTCCTGCTCCCATCTGGTTATGTACTCTGTGCGCTGCACAGCCAACATCCCAGAACATCCCCCCTCTCGTCTCTCTTCTGGGTTGCATCCCCTGGCTATTACTTTCTTATTTTACTTCCTCACTTTCATGGTTCATATTCTCCAGAAACTTTCTTATATGTAGTTTAGGGAAGGTAGATCCTTTGGAATCATCTGTGTCTGAAAATCCGTTCATATTTCCTTCACTTTTTTTTTTTTTTTTTTGCTCTTTATTTTGAAATAATTTAAATTTAAGGAAGAGTTGCAAAAACAGCACAGAGAATGACCACAGCCTTCACCCAGCTTCCCTGAGTGTTAACATTTCACATATCTAGGTACATTTATCAAGAGAGAGATTAAAACTGGTACAACACTGTTAACTACAGACTTTATTCAGATTTCACTAGTTTTTCACATTATTTCTCTGTTCTATAGCCAATTCAGGATAGGACGTTGTATTATATCATGTCTTCTTAGTTTCCTCCAATCTGTGACAGTTTCTCAGTCTTTCCTTGTCTTTCATGGCTTTGACACACTGTTCAGGTATTTTGTAGGATATTCCAAATACAAAGTGGTATGTTTCATGTTTTCTCATGATTAAACTAGGGTTGTGGTTTTGGGGATGAATACCACAGAACTGAATTGAAGTGCCCTTCTCACCACATCATATCATGTGTGACTTATCACTATGACTTACTACTAGGAATACTAAAGTGGATGATTTGGTTAAGGTAGAATCTGCTTGTTTTCTCTATTGTAATTTTTTTTTCCTTTCCTTAATCTGTCTGTAGAAGTGAGTTCACCAAGTTGAGCTCACTCTCAAGGAGGATAAAGATATACCAGCTGAAGGGAGGTGTATCAAAGAATTTGTGAACACATGTTAAAACTACCACAGTAATTAATAAATATTTTGTGCGAGGCATTCTGGGGCTATACGACTGTTTATCCTTAAAGTTTTACCCACAAAGTTTGGCATTCATTAGTAGATCTTGCCTGTAGCCATTATTCTGTGGTATTTTAATGGTGATTTTCAATTTTCCTTACCCCTTTTACATTTATTATTTGAAATTCTCCTGTAAGGAAGAGTTGGCCCTTCTCCTCCATTTATCTACTTAATTATTTATTTATATCAGCATGGATTCATAAATGTTTACTTTATTCTTTGGGCTATACTCTAACATTGCAGTCATTTACTTTGTTGCTCAAATTGTTCCACCTTTGGCCATTAGAGGCTCTGTCAGGTTGTTCTCTTTGTCCTTTTGACATGTCCCAACCTTTTTCTTTCTTGGGAGGGTGGGGGACACTTCCTTACTTTCTGTCACAAGATGTTACCGGTTCATCTTGTATTTTTTCCTGCCTCAGTCCTATAACCAGCTTTCTTCAAGAAGCCTTGGCTCCTTTTATTGAAGAATGGTATTTAGAAATCATGACCTGGCTGTTAGGTATACTTCATTCAATCTTGATTGACAATGTATTTGGGTATAGAATTATAGCCTGCAGATATTTCCTCTTTATTGCCTTTTATCATCCAATGTTGCTGTTGAGAAGGCCATTCTGATTCACGATTGCTTGCATGTGACGTCCTCTTTGTTCTTAACTGTTCTGAAATTTCATGAAGTGCCTCAGCAGGGGCTTTTAAACAATTTAGGGAGATTAAAAATTTACTCAGTGGACCCTTTCTATCAGAAAACTTAGGTGCTGGTCTAAGAAAAATTTTTGTATTGTTTCTTTAATATTTTCCTCCCTGTTCTCTTTCTTCATTTTTGTGTATTATACATTTGTTAATGTATAACATTTGTTCTACTTCCTGGGAGATTACTCTTTGGTTTATTGTTCAATCTTTTTATTTAATTTTTAAGTTTGGCTATCATATTTATAATTTCCAAATACTGTATTTCCCTTTTACATTCCATTTTAAAAACAGCATTCTGTTTCCACAGTTATCTCTTGTCTAAGGATTTTAAGATATTTAAATTACCTTCTGTTCTCTACATTATCTCCAAGTTCTTTTGTTTTTCTCTTTTGCCTGTCATTTTAGAGGCTTTCTTCTGATGGCTGATAAGTTATGGCTGACCACTCATATTTAAAATTGAAGTATTAGCAAGATAATTGGAAGCATTGTGTGTACATTGGCAGGAATGGACAATGGTGAGCCTCATTATAACAGTCCTGGCCATCTTATTAACGGCCCTCTACATGTCAGAAACTACAGATCCTTTCTCTTGGGCTGGTCACTTTACTTGGTCCTGTGATCTTTTGCTGAGAAGAGTCAGGTGGTATAATCTTAGCAACCACAAAGCCTGGGAGCCTAGTAAGGAAAGGTGCTAAGGAATCTTCTCATTCAGCCATGGGGACTTTCACTTATTTCCTGTTTTCATTTAGGGTGGCTCATTTCCATGCTCAGCTGTATTTAGTGTCCCCCAGGCTAGAGAACCTCATTCAGTTTCTCCAAAGAGTAAAAACTATCTTTTGCCAGAGGAGGAGAGTATTAGTCATCCAACTTTCAGGGCTGAGAAAGGGGGATTTGAGGATCTAACTGCTCCCTAAACACTGTTTTCAGTCCAACCAAGGTACCTGCCTTTCAGTGTTCTAGCCTTTCTGTGTTCTAGGGTAAAATATTATTGCTGTCTCCCCAACTTCACCACTGGAAAAAGTGGAGAAAAAGGCAGTTATCTCTCATCTGCTTACTCTTCACTCCCTAAAATCTACTTCTTATCTTCTATCCCATTCTTTGTTCCTGTGGGTTTATACTTTTTCATTTTTTCTCTCTCAAAAAAAAAGAACAAAAAAAAAAAAACCTCACTGCTGTTGAGTTGATTCTGACTCATAACAACTCTTCCTTGGGTTTCTGAGATGGTATCTCTACAGAAGTAGATTGCTCGGTCTTCTTCCAAGGAGTGGCCGGTGGGTTTGAACCGCAAGCCTTCTGGTTAGCAGTCAAATGCCTTAGGCACTACGCCACCAGAGCTCCCTGGAAAGTCATATTAGTGCAATTTTTGGGGAAATGGAGACAAACATATATGTTCGATCAGTCATCTTTACTTATACATATATTATTAATGACCTTTTAATTTCTATATTGCTTTTCACAGATCTTAAGAGAATAATATTTAAGACTTAGTCTTAAGGACATTTTGTTTAAGAAACATATTAAACTTACTTTTGAGGCCAGTAGGTTAAGCCTAAGGAGTTTAGCCAAGGCTCAGGAATAAAAGCCCATACAAGATATAGTACTGTAGAAGATAGGGGAAAAAGTGAGAGAAACATCAGTACGGCATGCAGCCACTCCACCAAGGTTCATATAAAACAAAAAAGCTCTTTGAAACTTCCCCTCATTCATTCAGAAATGATTTTTTCCTCCTTTTAGTTCTCCTAGTTCTTTATTTGTACCATTCTTACAATACTCACCACAATTACCTTATATTACAGTTATTTATTTATTTATTAAAAAAAAACATGTATTATTCTCATACTATATTTTAGGCAGAAGTCATCCTTAGCAACTGTTGTAATCCTTACAATACCTAGCAATTTTCTTTATGCATAGCAGGTGTTCAATACTTCATCCCCAAAGAAACCAAAAAATCCAAACTCACTGCTGTCGAGTCAATCCCCACCCATAGAGCCCCCTCCTTGGGTTTCCGAAGTGGTATGTCTATGAAAGTAGATTGCCTGATCTTCCTCCTGAGGAGTGGCTGGTGGGTTTGAACTGCCAGCCTTCTGGTTAGCAGTCAAATGCCTTAGGCACTACGCCACCAGAGCTCCCCATGCCCAAAGAGATGGGAATAATTATGACATTTAGTTGCTTACACGCTAATTTATCCACTTTTGCTCCAATACACAGGATGTTGGGTTTCTATCTTATCTCCTTGGATACAATGTTATGTTCTTTAATCCCAACTCTTTGTGGCACCCTTTGCTGTTGTCCCTATGTAATAATACAAGATAACATCTGAGCACTTACTTTGCACACATTATTTCATTTAATCCTCAAAATAATCCTATGATGTATATACATACCATTTTTACAGATGAAGGGAATGAAATCTTAGAAAGGTTAAATCACCTGCCCAAGATAAGTGGCAAAGACAAATTTCAAACTACTTAAATCAATGACAATGATGAGTTGATTATTATTACTACTTTTTCTTGGCAGATATGTATTACAGAATTCTCTGTCAGGAGCTTTAGAAAGAGACGACCCCTGCCCTCACTGATCTTAAAAATCTAGTGGAGCTCCATTTGTTCTTTTCCCCTTCTTGTGGTGGGTGGTAGCCCAGTTTCAATCTTAAAGTCAAGTAAGACACACTACAAGATGTTGGATCAATAAGAGAGAAGGAACTTGAGGCGGGGCAAGATGGCGGACTAGGCAGAAGGATTGCACAGAC